CCCAAATGGATGCTCTGGTCTCGGCTTCCCGAGCGCGGGCCCCGCCCCCCGCTGGCCTGAACACGTCTGCGCCTTCCTGGGGCCCGCAGGCTGAGCCTCTTCCTGTCGCGCACTGTCTCGCTGCTGCCCGGGCGCCCTGCGCCGAGCGCCGGGTCTCCATCCGCCCCAGCATCGCCCGGGTCCCCGACACGTAGTCCTGCGTGACGGGGGCTGAGCCCCGCGGGATAGCGATGCCTGGTCACCCGTGGTGCCCGTCTGCGCTGCGGGGAGGAAGGAGGCGAGCTGGGTGCCAGGCCTGGGCAGCGGCTCAGTCCCTCCAGCCTAGTGGTTCACACTGCCTGGGCTGTGGGACCTGGGAAGAAGGGAGTTTTTGTTCCCCCAGGCTGGGGCTTGGTGCCTCTGCTCCATCCCTCTTGCTGGGTCTGTGTTGCCAGAGATGGGCACAGGCTGCTGCTCTCTCCCTGCCAGGAGAGTTGTGGCTCTGATCCCACCTTAAGGAGACTGGCTGGGCCCTCCGGCCAGGCTGCTCCAGTAGAGACAGGCCTGGCCTTGCCTGTAGCATGTGGGCCTCACCAGCCCTGCCTGGCTCTGCGGCGCTTCGTTTGGATGTGGGTCACGTGCCGGGCTCCCAAGCACACGGTGGGGCTGGGACACGTCCCACTGCAGCACGGGGGCTGGCGTCCAGGCCCAGCTCGAAGCTCAGACTGATCGTCCTGAAAAACTCTTGTCTTGGGACTGTCCGGCTGCCCCTTGGGGCCCGGCGCCGCTGGAGGCTGCGAGGAGGTGCAAGAAGGGATGGGAGCCGCGCCGTGGCCACGACTGTTCCGTCCGGAGATGCCGTGGCCCTGCGCCAGGGCAGGCACCTGGGAGGCTGCTGAGGAGGCTGCCCGGCCCCGAGAGCGGGAGGAGGAGGTGGCGGGACGTGGGGCCAGCCCTGGATCGGCCTGCGCAGCTCGGGCTGTGTCCACTTCCGTGGGCTCCTTCTGGGGCCACGCGCAGGGAGCAGGAGATGGAAGCCACCCGATCCTGGGAATTGGGAACCCTGTGCGGGGGGATTGGTGTGGAGAGCAGCACTGCGGTCCCTCCGGGTGCACGCGAGGCACCGGGGCTGGCAGCGGTCACCGGTTCCCTGGGG